CTTTCTTAAAAAAAAAATCACTTTTGAGATTTATTTTTCTCCTTATTGAAGGAACAATAAGTCTAAAATAAAATTATTTCCAGGCTTCAGGCTTGAAATAACAGGTTTCTGATGGTTAGTTTGTTTTAGGGATGCTGAAGTTTGAGATAAACATGAAAAACCTAAATACAGAGGTTTAATTGTTCACATATGCTAAGAAATGTAAATCCAGTGTAGTCATTTCTCTGGTCTTACATAATCGTAAGTACAGCAGTACATTTGCTCCAAATGGAAAAAGAAAAACCAAACACATTCAAAATACATCTCCTACCTTAGACTAGAAACTGAAACAAAAAAAAAAAAACACCCATGGGAAACTGGGTATAATCTCAATAAAACCTGGTGTTCAAGCAATAGCAATCTACCAGTATCTGCTTTCAGTACCCGAGAAATATAGCAGGTAATATAAGATTAAGAGCCCTGGTGGTGCAGTGAGTAAGTCCTGGTGGTTACAAACACAAAGTCAGAAGTCTAAATCCACCCAGTCACTCCGTGGGAAAAGATGTGGCACTCTGCCTCTGTAAAGACTTGTAGCCTTGGAATCCCTATGGGGCAGTTCTGCTCTGCCCTGGAAGGTCATTATGAGTTAGCACTGACTCAATAGCAATGGGTTTAGTTGTAACATAAGACTGTTAACATTAGGGAAGACTGGGAGAGCGTATATAGTGACTCTTCAAAATAGCTGCAATTTTTCTGTAAGTAATTTATTATCCCAAAAGAAATAGTTTATAGAAAAATTATCCCACACTTCATCTATCCCCAAATTAAAATGTTTATTAGCTTTATTAAATATTCATCTACAATTTATGTAAAAACTAAAGCATTTACTTATTTCCATTGTCATTTGGTAACAATAAACAAAGGGCGAAGAAAACCTTCAAAGGTAACCAGAGAAATGATGGTAAAGATAAAAACAATCAGTACTATAAATGTTCTTCACATTAAAAGAAAAAATCTGACCTGTACTGATAGCTGACCTATACTCTGATATACAGTTATGTAGGCAAACTATTCTGTCAAGAAGTCTGATGAAATAGTTTCTCCTCATTACCATCCTATCGTTCCTTGTTAAGTGACAAGACAAGCCTACATACAAGGTCAACTTTAACAAGACATACTAGCCTATCAAATAAGTTTTGTCACTTTGATCAATTCAACCTCTCAAGTTGTTCCAACAAATATATGCAACTACAAAGAGTTATGCAAACTAAGATTTTCTAATAAAAAAAACTCTCGTATTTCAAATCTTACAAACTTTAAAACCTTGGAAATCTATTTTTTCCAAAAAGTAATATTTAAATCCTTGGTAATATTACCTGAATATCCCAGTCATATTTTTCTATTCTGACCCAAAACCCAAGATATTTTTGTCATGTTTATATTCCCTATGCCCTGGTGGCATGTAAAGTAAGCACTAATTGGATGGCTAACCTCAACGTCAGCCATTCCAAACTACCACAGCAGAAAGATGAGGTTGTGTGCTCCCCTAAATTTTACAGCCTTGAAAATCCTAAGGTCAACATGAGTCATAATCAACTTGATGGCAGTGGGTTACACCTTGTCAGAAACACTAAGGAGTTCTACTATACTGACCTACAGGGTTGCTATGAGTCAGAATCAACTCAATGGTAGTGTATGAGATAAACACTGGCAGTATTAAAGATCTAACAATTAATGATTTCCCCAAGGCTGTAAATCTTTATAGAAGCAGGAAGCCTCATCTTTCTCCCAGAGTGCCACCAGAGTTCCTGATTTTCTTGACAATCCAAGTATCATTATAGAAATTTTTCATTTGGTAGGAATAACGTTAAACCTAATAGGGTCAAGTCTGAGGTAAATCCTGTCTTTCCAACTAACTGTCTATTTTTAGTCAAGTTCCTAAACCTTCACTCTCCTTTGTAATAGTTCCCACCTATACACTGAGGTTCTAGAACAGAAAGTGCTTACAATAATATCTAGCATGAAAGTTTTCACACATCACAAGTGAAAAGGATAATTATTTACCATCAACCATTCTTAGGCTTTTACTGCCTACCACAGGGCTGAATGACCATGTGTTGAAAGAACAAACTGCATCCCCTTTATTTGTAGTACTAATATATAATTTTGTAGTCATAAACTTTTTCCTAAAGGGGAACTCTCCCAAAATGTTTCATCTTCCCATCCTTTCAGCAAATGTATCCTTTATATAATTTCTGAGTGCAGACATAACCTGTCTCAAATTATTTATTGTTCCTAGTAATTAACTATTCATTATAGTATGAAAATGTATAGAAGCCATTACTTAACAAAGACAATGTGTTTTAAAAATAAAGTCTATGCTTGTCCTCCATGCAAATATCACATGGGATACTTTATTAACAAGGACTTTGGAAAAGAAGTCAAAGGAAGTCACCCAGAATGTATCACAGAAACCAAAGGGTAACAAATACAGAAGAGATTAGATAAAATAAGGAAGTGTAGCATTCGTTGAACATTTGTGTAGCGTTTCTGAATCCAGGTGAAGCAGAATAATATATCAAACGATAATAGCGAAGATTTTTCAGAACCAACAAAAGACATTACAGATTCGAGTAATAAACCTCAAGCAAGGTAATAAAGAAATTGACATCAAGAAAGAGGATAGCCAAACTGAAAATCAAAGAGAAAAAGAAAATCATACAAGCAGCCAAAGATAATCTTCAAAGTATTTAACAGTTAAATCCGCATCTCTCAATAGTTATAAAGGACTAAATATTCCAGAGAAACACCAAGACTGTCAATCTGTATATTTTAAAAGCCATTTCTATGCTACTTTCAAGAGATATCAGAAATAAAATACAAAATGATATAAAAATGGTTAAAAAATGAATATAGTATACATGAGGTCTTCCAAAAATTCAAACAAAGTATTGTGAAAAAGCTATGCATGGATCTCACTTGGGGGGGGGGGGGCGGCAGCACCAAAATAACTCATACAACTATCCTCTTTGAGGCACTAAGAAGGATAACACATTAGTTTGGGGTGGGAGGGGAGCCCTTCTCAAAACAACATGCATTCTGCTAAAATTGAAGTAAAAATTTACAGTGAAGCTTGAGTAGAAGAGTGGTGAAATCTTCAATGTTTTATAATGATTATAACGCTAATTTATGAGGACAGTGCTACAAAGAAGTCAGCAGCTTACAAATAGAAAACTTGATTTAAGTGATGAGACATGTTGAAGAAGCCTGCAGCAACAGGCCATGCAAACCAAGAAAACAATCTTGTACATGCTCTAACTAAAAAAATACTCAAACTCCCTGCCAGTCAATTCTGGCTCATGGTGACCCTTACAAGCCAAAGCAGAACTGCCTCTGAGTTTCCAAGCCTGTGACTCCTTGCAGAAATGGAGAGCCTCATCTTTCTCCATGGAGCAGCTGGCGGTTACAATTTGATCTAATTGATCAGAACCCAAAATTAATAGCCAACATCAGAGATATCGCAACAGGCTCAGCTTACACAATTCTGGCTGAAAAACTAAAGTGAGCGAGGTTTCTGCTCAATGTGTACTAAAATTGTTGGGCCCAGGTCAACTGCAAGAAAGTGCAGAATCCACTGGAAAATTTAAATGTGTAGTAACAAGATCTGTCAACAGATAAAAAATGATTTACTTTACTAGTACTATCCTGAAGACAATACACAAAGAAATGGCTACCAAAAATTTTAAGTGGTCCGGTCAAAACAAAAGCCAGCCAATCAGAATCAAGGTCATAGTAACAGGCTAATGGGATGTTCAAGGTATTTTGCTTGTTGACTTTCCGGAGGGCCAAAGACCAGTAACTTCTGCTATTATGAGATTTATTAGAGAAAAAGTCAAAGCGTTAGCAGTAAAATGCCCGGGAAAACTTCACCAGTCCTTTTCTACCATGACAATATGCCTCCAGGCGTTTCAAAGAGACACATTAGGCATCCCAACTGATTTGATGGTCCTTTTTGTCTGGTGTCTAAACTTTAAGGGCACCCATTTGTCTTCAGTTAATAATGCACCAGCATAAATTCCCAGCAGTCTCAGTTCTTTAGAAGTTGTCTAAATGGTTGGCACCATTGTTTTAAAAAGTGTTTTTTTTGACCTTGATAGAACCTATGTTGAGAAACAAAGTTTGTATTTTTATTTAATTCCATTTGGCCACAAAAGTTATGGAAACGCTACTATTACTAGAGTCAGCATCCAGAAATGAAAGAAATAAGGAGGATTTGAACAGATAAAATAAATAAATAACATTCAGCACAGGAAGGCTACTAGAGTAGGGATGTGAGGGAGAGATTATAATTAAAATATAAAGGCCACGGAAAGTCAAGTAGAGGAGTTTAGACTTGGTGGTTAGGTATGTATACAACCATTAAAAAATCTTAATCAACTCTCTTTATATTAAGTGACAGAGCAAAAGTAGAACTACCATATCAGAATAGGAGAATATGGTATCTATCATCTAGAGGTGTGGGGTAAAAGACCAGAAGCAGGACTAGTAAGGCAAGCAAGACAAGAGTTGAGACAAAGTGTTTAACAGAGGTAAAGTGATTAACTTAGGTGTCACTTCAACCTACACCAGTTTTTCTTTGAAAATTTAAATGCTAGAAAACAAACCACATCGAGAAAAACAATGCCTTCTTTGTGCTCCCATGATCTTCACAAATCTGAAGTTTGGCCCTGTTACTCACTAAGTCAATCTTAATAATATACACTTTAGTAAATTGTTTTTGGTAAAAATAAAATAAGCTATTTAGCCTATAAAGTACAGTGTATAAAACATGTAACATTTTCTTGACTTCGTCACTATTAATACTAAAATAAAAAAGAATTTTGTAGCTTAACAGTTGACTTCTTGATTAATGTACATACTATTACTATGAAATTCTAGGATCTCAATAAACATTTATGTTGACTTTTAACAGCCTTGCTTACCAGAGTACATCAACTAGGTAATGAATTCAAACAACTCACCAATGCTGGGTGGACTGCCATAGTTAATTGGTGACTCCGGTGGTCTTCCACAATGCAGTGCAGCCAGAGCTGAACCTTTCCAAACAACATGCTTGCAGCCTATTAAATACACATATTTTTATGCATACAAAATAGGATATAAACACACACAAAAAGATTAAAAAGAACACATAAATCCTCTTGACAAATTGTCATACTTTTATTTGTGCGTAGCAAGGACTGTCTTCCAGCTCCTAATAAAGTTTGTACTCCAGGAACACTTTGAGGAATTTCTTGTTCAAGAAGAGGTCCAAGTCGATGACATATTTGCAGCAAGTGATCAGGTGCTAAGTGTCTATAATACTTCACCTATTACATGAAAGACAAATACAAATGTGCTTAATAAATATAATTCCTTACATTATCTAAATCTTCAGAGAGTTCTCATCTAACAGTAAAGAAAATTTAGTTTAAAAATACAGGCGTTTTTCTAACAGAACCCAGACTTACTGGTATCTATAGACCCTGAAGCACTCCAAGGGTATGGCTCAGAATTAGTCTTTAAAGCTTGAATTGAAACCATTCCCTGATAGCTTTAGTCAACTTTAAATTGCTTAAATAAAAGAGTAAAGACTGTCACCCAAATATATTCCTTTGTAAAAATTTATAAAACCAAATGGTAAACACCTTATTTTAAAGCACAGATAAGACTGGGTGTAGGGAATTTAAGTTAATGGGAGTGAACAACTAAAACAGATGTAGCAAGAATGTTTACTCCATGCAAAGAATATAACCAATGGCTCTGATCTTTATTAAGTCTAGAAACTCTGGAATAGTAATTTTGCTATCTATATTTCACCAAAAATAAAACAAAGTATTACATTTAAAAAATAAGAAATGATTGTATAATAATTTAGCCTGTTAGTCAGCATTTCCTTTTATTTTGGGGCAAAGTTCTTACTTTTTCTATAAAATCACTTGACTCAGAATAAAATAGATATCCTACCATTTAAGCCAAATGGAAGAGAAAAGAGATGAAGAACCAAAGTAACTTAAATGTTTCAAATTACAAATAAAGCAGATGCTGTCAATAGAAATATAGAGCCATAAAAACGGATAGCATCATAACCTAAATTGGCATATTTCCATTAAAGTTGTAACTTTTTAAAATGTCAAAAAATTTATGACTATATTGTTCTGTGCCTTAGATATTATAAAATATATCTTTAGAATTAAAAATTAATAGTTGATGTTCTCATCACAAAAGTACAAAGTACTTAATATGCTGAACTAATTACCAGAAATATCAAGTATTGTAAACATCAAAGCAAAATTCCAACT